CCCCCCCCCCCCTGTCCTAGTTTATTCTTCGGCGGTGCCACGACGAGTGATAGCCGTCCTCCATCGCCTGTTGCGCGCGATGTTTTCCGCCGGCCGCATGAGAGTTCTATTCCGAATGTCCTCCCTGATGTTCTCGCGAGTCTGAGAACAGGCCGCCGGGGGCCGTCTCGACGATGGTGTTGCCCAGCGGTTGCTCCTGATGGTTCCGTCCTCATTCAAGAACCTGGCGGTGGCAGATGGCGGTTCAGAACGACACCTTCGGAGGTAGTTGTGAAGCCGAGTGATGGCGTGCACAACGCTCGCGGTGTTGCGCAGAGGTACCTGCAGCGGGCGCCACAGAATGGCCCACTGCTTCATCTGCAACATGTGGGGGGAGGGCGGGGAGTGGGGGGGGGTTCAGGCATGACCTCTGTACTTTGCAGTAATGTTTGTGCGATATCTACCGATATAGAAGTACTTTGTAATGATCTTTGTTCTCGTGCTAAAAATAAAGAAACATGACCCAGCTTGTCACCAATCGTGTATACCATTCGCGAGCAGGCTCATGATCCCGTGTTATGCCCACGAAATACCTACGCCAACACTCACCATGATCCCGAACGTCTGCTCGATGCATATGCGCCCTTGCGACTGGAAGAAGTTGAAGGCATCTTGGTCTGCGTTGAGGTCGCATCCTGGGTACGGTACAAGCATCTTGTCCGTTGCCCCGTAAGCCTCCCACGACATAGTAGTCGCCTGGAAGACCCTCGACAAGCTGGTCGAACTCGGCCTCCTTGTATGCCTGCCGATCGTTGGTGCTTCCCGGGGTGTTGCAGCCGGCGACAGTGACGATGTAATCCGCGTCGCAGATCACCTGAGTCGGGAAACAGATGGTGCATTCTGTAAGCGCGTGTGCACTTCAGCTGGTTCATGAACAGCAGTCCAAGGGTCCATCGTGCGCCCCTTCCCACAGAAAAGAGGCCCCTCCTCCAGAAAAGAGGGAGAGGCCGTTTTCTTTTACATGTTCGTCGATGTTCAACGTACAGAACGCGCCCGCAAGTAAGAAAAAGTTTAAGTAGGAAAATCAAGCTCAGATTTTGGCGAAAAATGAGAAATTCCGGCTAAGAAACACAGCTCAATCTTGGGAAAGAAGTAAGAAACACCCCAATAAGAAACTGAGGGCAGGATCACTCCAAACCATAAGAAACGAAGTGCAGTAGAGGGAGCGTGAAAAATAAGAAACGGCCGTTGACGTCCGGTGACAATCCCTATTACTCCTTGTGGGTGTAATTTGTTGGTGTGTGGGTATCGGTCGCTGTCTTTTATGCGAACCCCCCCCCGTGCCGCGCGGTCCGCACGTGGTGCGTGGTGGCCAAGTGTGGCCTGGTTTCACAGTTCTGATGAAGACAGACAGACGCGGGCGTTGGTGCGTGGGTGCTGGAGGTAGAGCAGGAGGAGGCAAGGATCAGGAGGTCTAGGAGGCGACAACCCCAAATGTTCGCCGCACGGAGCTTTCGGCGTAATGTCGGAATGGCTGGTGGGTCCCTGTCTTTCAACTACTTCGTGTGGTTTGTCTTTTGGAGAATGCCACTACTGTACGGCACAGTGGAGGGGAAGCCACATCAGTTCGTTTTCTATTGCGCGATTGATTGTCGTCGAGGTGTGTGTGTTGTTGTTTCTCACATTACCTCTAAAAAAGAAAGATTGGGAGCCCGTGGTCTCAAAACCCGGCATACACGACCCCACGAAGAAACAGAAAAAAACAGGGTACTAAAACCACTCGGAAGAGAAACAAAATGATAGAAAGAAAGACCAGCTACCGCACCAAACGAGAAAGAGCGTCGAGGAGACCGATCAAAATAAAATAAAAGGAGAACGGGGAACGCTTCCCACACCCGCCTACAACGCCGGAGGGTTCCGTGCCGGGTTCCCGCCGACCAG